TTCGACTTGTATCCCTTTTCCTGGGTGAAAAACTTTGCCTGAAATTTTGCACAATTATTAACAAAGTTATGGAAAATCGATTTTTATTAAAACGAAGACCTGCTTTTTTGTTAAAATACAACTTTTCGGCTTGATTGGCCATGGTCTCACTCGAAAGGACAAGGTCAATGTAGCCATGTGTTTGGCCATGAAACTCAAACCGCAGAAAAAATATTTTTATTTATATCTTTTTTCCTAGGTGAAAAACTTGGCCTAAAAATTTGCACAGTTGTTGATAAAGTTATTGAAAATCGATTTTTATTAAAAAGAAAACCGGCTTTTTTGTTAAAACATGATTTTTTTCACCTAGTTTTGACCTGGTCTCACATGAAACGACGAAGGCACTGTCAGCCATTTTTACTTATGAAACACGAAGCGCGGAAAAAATGATTCGACTTGTATCTTTTTTCCTAGGTGAAAAACGTGGCCTAAAATTTTGCACAGTTATTAATAAAGTTATTGAAATTCGATTTTTATTATAAAGAAGACCGGCTTTTTTGTTAAAACACAGCTTTTTGGCTTGATTGGCCATGGTCTCACTCAAAAGGACAAGGTCAATGTTGACATGTTTGGCCATGAAACTCAAACCGCGAAAAAAATTTTATTTATATCTTTTTTCCAGGTGAAAAACTTTGCCTAAAAATTTGCACAGTTGCTGTCAAAGATATTTAAAATTGATTTTTCTTAAAAAGAAGACCGGCTTTTTTGTTAAAACATGATTTTTTACCGGCACTGTCAGCGATTTTTACTCATAAAACACTCAGCGATTTTTACTCATGAAACACGAAGCGCGGAAAAAAATATTTCGACTTGTATTTTTTTCAGTTCTCTACGACGTTAAAAGATAGTCCCAATCTATAGACTCGTAGGAAAAACCGTATCTTTAGAAAAAATATCCGTTTCAACCACTTTATGTCTTTAAAAGTGCACTGACCTTTTCAGGCTGTTCTAGACAAACCACATTTTCTTTACAATATTCCCTCTTGACTGTAGCATAAACTTTAAGTACATAAACCTCTCATTCCATATAGTTCATCCCAGAGGTAAATCGTTTTGGTGTTCATTTGCAAATGAGTTAAACTAGGCCATGACCATGTTTCTTAAATAATATTTTAACTCTTGCCGTGTCTTTCTTTTCAAATGTTGATATTCGAATGAGAATTTCCAATATTCGAAAACCTACGGGGGGTCCGCGCATCACACATAGATCAGGGGCGTCATTGCCGTTTCCACGCCCGTGTTTTATAGCGCCCTGGTCTAAAGCCACTCGCGCTGCGAGCTCGTGGCTTTAAACCTAATAAAACACTCCTGCGCGTTTTTTAAATAGTACATAAAAGATCTTTCTCGTATAATGATTTTGGAACGTTACTTAGATTATTCCCTTCAATAAAATTTTAAGAAAAAAGGATATTGAGCTTGTTTAGCCGATTAAGAAATGAGCAAAGTTTTAAAACAATTTACCGAACGAAAAGGGAGAAATTTAGGTTTAATTTTGGCATTTTTTGCGAGATGTGACAGGTAAAACTCCAGTTAAAATTTGTGTAATAAAGTAATTATTTGTGTGAAATGATAACCATTTTTGTAAAATATACAGTCAATATACATCCAATTTTTTGCGAATTTGCTTTAGAAAACGCAGTCCTAGAGCTTCAAAAATGGAACAATTTTCTGGGGGAGGACCCCCAAACCCCCCTTTTCTCCCGAAACTTACTATGACAGTGCGAGTCAATCACAAGAAGCTTTATTATAATTATTACACTTTAGGTAAATATTTATTAAAAATTCAAATTTCAGGTAAAATGCTCCGACAACCCAATTTCAGATGCTTTGCTACGTGTACAATAGTCGAAAAACTCGTGGTCATTCGTGGTCACTTGTGGTCACTCGTGTGCACTTTTAGACAAGATCGATTGAATGCCCATAATGCATAACATCAATTTATATATTGCGTATATTCTCAAAGATTTTCTCAATATTCAGGTCTGAAATGTTTATATATTTGAAAGCAACTCTGTATCGCTCCTTCGTAGCATCGTCACGCCATCGTTGATCTGCGGCTTGATAGCGCATGCGCATTTGCGCTGCTAAAGAAAAAATCGGGTGTTCCGGGATAAAAATCCTTTACAGAACACGAGAAGCCGACGAGAAGCGAATGCTATAAATTTTGCAATAATGACAACGTTTTCTCGAAATTTTTGTGAACTTGGCAAAAGGCCTAAAGAATATTTAAAGAAGACAACTCAAATTGCCCAAATAACCTTCAAAGCACTAAGTACAATAAATCACTACGAACATAAATAGTATACACCCCCCGGAAAGTTTACCCTATGACTGACTGACTGAATGAATTCGTGTGAATTTGCCCACTAATCACAATAGTGTAAAGTGAAACTTTACTAAAAACCGATACTTTCTGAAAAAAACTAGATACAAAACACCTCTAACTTTATTCAAACTTTTTAGAAGTATTTAAATTTCAGGGATAAAAAGTGGGTTTTATCAAAATTATTTTTGTCGATAGGCGGGATGCAAAATGCTTGACAATCGTCATTCGGAAAAATCATCGGCTTAATGGTTATTGGCTGTTGAATGATATTCGGAATTTGCCGATTTTTCAACAGCCAATAAGCAACAAGCCGATGATTTTTCCGATGATGACGTTTGTCAGGCATTTTGCATCCCGCCTATCGACAAAAATAATTTCGATAAAACCCCCTTTTTATTCCCGAAATTTAAATACTTCTAAACTTTTTTCGACTCTGAAACGTTTGAATAGAGTTCGAAAAAATATCCAAGGTGTTTTGTATCTAGTTTTTTTTTCTCAGAAAGTAGCGGTTTTTGTTGTTGTTTGAACGTAATTGTAAAAGTAGTGTGTGTAAATGTATTTTGTAAAAGAGTTGCCCGCCTTGGATAATATACTATATGAAAATACAATGACGTAAACATCGGAATCTGCATGTATAATGAGCTACACAAATAAATCGCTTGATAGCAAATTGAGACGAACTTTATACGCATTTTTAAGCGTTTAATGCATTTTTACACATTTTGCTGGGCTGCCTATGTTGTAAATGTAAATTGTCAGACTATGTATATACTGTATGTAGATATGTTGGTAAATAAAACATTATTTCTTGGCTTTTTATCGATTTATGTAAACATTATGCACATGCATGCACATATAGACCTACCTATGGTAGGCTACATGCTCTACGTGTTCCTCGTTTTCCTTATTTTTATTACTCCTGCATCCACAAACAACACAGCTATAAGGCATATTTTTCTCCCCTTTAAAATTAACTTTTTAAAAACCTGCTATGAAAACTTTGACTTTGACGCGAGCGACCGACTGACAGTAGCAATCATAGCAAAATATATAGACAACATTTTTTGTCAATTTTTAAATGCTTTTTTCGAAATTTTTTTTACAAGCACGGCTTCAACTCCCCCCCCCCTGACTTAGCCTTCCAGTTTAGTTATAGTTCAATGGTATTAGCGAGCACGCGAAGCTTGAAATACTGCTTGCCAGAAGTCCTCATATTCTGAGTTCAAACGTGAAATATATTGCTCATCGCTATACCGGTCCCCCCTTGTGCCCCACGAAATCATATTTTGCCCCCCAGGAAAAGTCCCTTTTTCCTAAATCTATGAACAAATCAGTGAAGAAAAACAAATAGATAAACGGAAAGTAAGTTTAAGGCTTTATCCTTTGTCCTTGTTTTGCAAAATCGATTTAAATTGTTACGTTTTTCCACCACTAAGTAATGACAAATTATTGTTAATAATTATTTTATTTTTTGTGCGTTTTTTCCTTCTTTTATTTCAAATACAAGTATAGTTAGCATAAATTTTAGAGCAAATTTGGATGCTCAGAATGCAGGAAATGGCATTTCCGGGTTTCAAATTTCAACAATTTTCTGGGTAGTATGCTCCCACACACGTGGCCTTGCACCATTGCTATCCCCCACAAATTACGGTTAATATTTTTTTTAACTTTTTGTGCGTTTTTCCTTCTTTTATTTCAAATACAAGTATATTAGCATAAATTTTGGAGCAAAGTTGAATGCTCAGAATGCAGGAAATGGCATTTCCGTGCTTCAAATTTCAAACATTTTCTGGGGAGTATGCCCCAGACCCCCCTATTCATGTGTGGTATGTCGGCCACACACGTGCCCTTCAGCCGTTCCTATCCCCCTCTAATATATTATCTCACAGAAAGGTCCCTTTTCAAAAAATGCCGCCCCCCCCCCACGGGAAAATCCTTAAAAAAGGCCCTGCGCTACACTTATTTGGAACCACACATTCAAATAGTATGGTGTGCTACAGCAAATGATCACACCGCCAAAACCCTCAAACCATTAGTGTATTCAACCTTCAGTGGCGTTTAAAACCTGGAACATAATTAACCTTCTTTCTCAAAAAACATACCCTCAAGGCCAACACCAACACCTCAAGGCATTTAAATTATATAACAGCGTGTAAATAATAGCAGCGAACGTGGATATAAATAAAGAATTTAGCTACAATAACACATAAATTTACCATGTAACAGTGGCCATTTCCATCAATCGTTTTTATCTCGTACGAAATATTGTTTTCTTTAAAGAAATCCTCAATTGCTTTTTGTACAGCTTCTATTCCAATCACGGTATGACCTTGTTTAACCAGCCTAAAAATTATTACAATAATTCACTATCGCAGATTAGCAAACATATCATTCATTAAAATATTATTGATAAGTGTGATAAATATTAAAACTCAAAAGTACACTCATACCAGCCCCCATAGCAGCCCTGAAGTATCTTTTGATTCATTACACTCTACTGCTCAATCAAGTCGTCTGCAGTCATTAATTACAAAGCATAGTTCGAACCCTTGCGATTTTCTCCTTTTGGAGAATGTGAAGGAGCTGACGAGTTACATATGTTCCAGATTATGAAATCCCATAACAACATCATTAAGTAATCTACTCCTTCAGATCCTCCAAAAGGAGAAAGTCGCAACTAAAATTGCAGCAAAAATCGCCCGTGTAAACGGGCCTTTAAGGAGGCTCCCTACAGTTTCCAATATATATATATATCAGTGTTTTAAACTAAAGCTATTTGAATCTAAAAAAACTAATTTTTTGCACAAGCCACTGTTTCCTCTTATACAAAAAAGTAATTTTAACCCATAATCGCTACTATTCGTGTTACCATGATAACATGACGTCACCTATATATGGCCTATATCAAGAAGCAGGGAGAAGTTCAAGGCATAGTTCAACCCTCAAGGGCAGGGAATAAACTGTCTCCACAAAAAAAAACACACACAAAAGGGGCGGCATGGAAAATATTTGTAAAAATTGGTGAACGGGATCGTGGTTTAAAAAATGGGGGGCAAGCCAAAAACATAAACTCGTGAAACAGTTGATTATTTTGTTGATGTAATTTTCTTTGGATAATACATGCATGCAATAAGCCTCGACAATTTGCAAGGGTTAACCTTTTGATCTTTGAAACAGGTGTGTGGAAAGAAAAAAGGGGCACATTGGTAAAAGCGGGGGCAATTTAATAAAGAGAGGTTAGGACCCCTTTCTGAGCTATATATAATGCTAGGTACGCCCTTGATGTTGAGTAAAAACAACCTAAAACGAAACACAATCATTCATCACTGTACACTAGAGGTGTGCATCGGATCGGATTGGAGGTTTATAATCCGACAATTGGCTAATGTTTAAAATCCGATCCGAAATTGTCTAATCTGAATCAGATTCGCGTTTTGATAAAGAATTCCGATCCGATCTGAAGAATCCTTTAATAAAATAAATATCTCATTCAACTTGAAATATTCAACCAAATAAGTATAAAGCAAGAAATACATATCAAGAAGCTTGACAAAGTGACGTCCAATTGAAGTATCAAACGAATAATGCAGCGACAACCGCGATAATGCTTTGATAAATGCATGGATAATAATTCTTGCGATAATGCGTGGATAATTAATTCATTTCGATTATCGAAGTCCGATCCGATGCGACTACGAAACAACTTTATCAATCCGATCCGAAATGTATATTTTTGTTCCGAAATCGGAACGAATCCGATCGGATCGGATTCGCACACCTCTACTGTACACTTTCATTACGCTTTTCAACACTCATTAACTTTGCATCGAATACTTAGAATTAATACATTATAGTGTAAAATTTTATGTAAAATGGCATTTTCATTAGTTGTACACATGTGCTCATGAACTGCCCTTGTCACGAAGAAAAGCCACTGAAACCTAATGGCCATGCAAAACCTTTTTTCGCCAAAAAGATAATTGCCACCCTGGCCGCCATAATGAATTCAAGCGTATCTGGTTCTACCTTTACACTATAAATTTCAAGGAGTTAAATTAACTCCAAAAATGTTATTCTGTCCACTTTTGGAGTTGAATCACACCTCGAAATTAACACGGTACTCAACCAATTTTCCTCATGACTTTTTCTTCGATTTAGTAATTTTTTCCAACAAGGAACTTTGTTTCAGGACAAAAATATGTTACAAAGCATATTTTCAAAAACATTTACATTCATTTTTGCATCTAGCCTGCTTTACATCTCGATGACAGAAAACGGCAGAATAAGTTATTCTTGACACACCTGCACCGTACAAAGCAATACAAAGCAATACAATAAACTATATTTAACGAGGGTAACACCAATTACAAAACGTATTCTCCCTAGTGGCCCTCAATCGAGATTCCCAAACGTCTTTCACTGTTTCACATCTCACAGCCACGTTGTAATGGTCGATTTAGCAGCTTGTCAATTAAGTATCAGGCGCCATTACTTTCTTCTGAATTGATCCTGGCAAAGATCACTTATCTGTCATGCTTTGCTTTTGACACTAGTTTTATAAGTTACACAGAACTGATATAAAATATACTTATTAGAACTATTTGGCTTACCATAACAGGTCCAATGTTTTGCCACAGAATGGAACTAGTACCCTGCGGTTTTGTTTACTATCAGTTAAAAATTCTATGTTCTCAGTAAGATTTCTAAAAAAAAAATTAACTAAATAAGAATATTGGTATACATGTTTTACTATAATGCCTTCGTCGATAAAATTTAATTTAATTTATTGCATCCTTTGATTTGAAAAACAAATTAAATCAGATGCGTGCTGGGTCTTCCAAAAGAACAACAAATGAGCGACAGCTAGGAAGCTTGGGGCAGATTTGCGAATGCAGGATGCGTCTCATCCTCGTTCCCAGGGCTTCTCCGCTGCCTTATTTATGGCAATGTGAGGCAGCCGAGAAGCCCTGGGAACGAGGATGGATGTATCTTGGGAGAGGAAATATTTGACCAAATCTGATGTAACGAAAGAATTAAATTACAAGTTTGAATGCCATGTGCACTATAATGAGAAATGACTGGCACTATGAAAAGCAGCTGGGGATGTACGACAACCTACAGGCTGTAACAACCTCACTTCAATGTAGTATATGCCTATTTGTGTTATTGGCCATATGCATGATTTAAAAAAGCAATTCTATTACATACATTAGGCCACTAAAAGGAACCTATCAGCCGAACGCTTACAGGAATGATTTCAGAATTTCAAGATATCAACATGAACGTTGATTTACACCAACACAGCAAATATCATGAACGTTAATTTGAAGACGAAAGTTAAAAAGAAATCGAGCAAATGACACATGACTACTTGATACAAAATTACTACAAATGCCAGCACAGCACGTGCGTTTAAACGGGTATTTCGCGTGGTGAGTATAGTATTTAATTTAATCGAGTTTGCTAAAGCAGTATATTCACCGAATGTGACGCACGCTGAAAGTGGTGACACCGATTGTTACTGGTTACCCTGCGTGACACTGATTGTTACTGGTTACCCTGCGTGACACTGATTGTTACTGGTTACCCTGCGTGACACTGATCGTTACTGGTAACCCTGTGTGACACCGATTGTTACTGGTTACCCTGCGTGACACTGATTGTTACTGGTTACCCTGCGTGACACTGATTGTTACTGGTTACCCTGCGTGACACTGATCGTTACTGGTAACCCTGTGTGACACCGATTGTTACTGGTTACCCTGCGTGACACTGATTGTTACTGGTTACCCTGCGTGACACTGATTGTTACTGGTTACCCTGCGTGACACTGATTGTTACTGGTAACCCTGTGTGACACCGATTGTTACTGGTTACCCTGCGTGACACCGATTGTTACTGGTTACCCTGCGTGACACTGATTGTTACTGGTTACGTGTGATTGGTTACGTGTGACACTGATTGTTACTGGTCACGTGTGATTGGTTACCCTGCGTGACACTGATTGTTACTGGTCACGTGTGATTGGTTACGTGTGACACTGATTGTTACTGGTTACCCTGGCGTTCTACGAAACGGAAAATTGCAGCGGCTACAAGCATTACGGAAACACAGAATGACAAAAATCGAAATTTAATTTCTAATCTAAAGGAATCTTTCTAACGGAAATTAAAGGAAATTGCAACAACCGGAATGTGAAAACGCAATGTTCTAAACCACGTGCTTGGGTAGACGTTAACATGGTATTAAGCTACTTTCAGAAGGGTTCCAGACACATTAGCAGCCAAGGGCTATGCTAAATCTTACTGTAGAACAAATTTTTAAAAAAAACTGTCTAATATTTGGTGGTCAGGTCGCCCGTGTGTTGATAGTACGCATGCGTTGATGATCATGCCGACAAATACGATAGATAGCCCGCTTTGGGGAAAGGCCTCTGATTGGACAGTGCTTTATTTGAATAATATATAACAAATTTCGATATTTCATTGGTTAATTGATAATTAGCATGAGTTTAAAATAACAACACAATATTTTAAATTCAGAGATTTCCTCAAGAATCAAGATTTCCTTCAGGGCATCCAAAAGTTTGAAAGACTTGAAATATAATCTATTGCGTTTGATTATGTATCGAAGTTTAAGAAAATCAAGATAAAATTCTAGTGTTTGAACACTCAGCGAACAATGCTGACAAATATATAATTACAACAAACTATCGGACGGAAATTGACAATTTACAGTATAATTGACAATTTAATAAATTGACAATCTCTTTATACGTCCCGAACCCCCGCGACAAAGCATTTTCTTTATTGTGTTTAACTTCGTCTTACTTAGGCAGTTAACTTTTACTTACTTTAAAATGCACCTTTTGAATAACCAGTTGTGTTTATATATTTAATACTTTGTCTTTGTAAACAACTATACGCCATACGCCAAGAACCTCATGAGCTTGTACACCTCTGCTTGTACACCTCTGCTTGTATACCTCTGCTTGTATACCTCTGCTTGTACACCTCTGCTTGTACACCTCTCCTTGTACACCTCTGCTTGTACACCTCGGCTTGTACACCTCTGCTTGTAACACCTCTGCTTGTAACACCTCTGCTTGTACACCTCTGCTTGTACACCTCTGCTTGTACACCTCTGCTT